AAAGACTTGGTTGGTAGGCATTTATACAATACTCTCTTGGTAGTTCAGTTGGCCACAAGCTTGTGATACGTTAAGCGTATGATGTAAGGAACTAACAATGTAGCTCAGTTGGTAGAGTGCCTGCTTAGAATGCATGAAGCTCCAGGTCTGATCCACAGTACTACATAAACCACATACAGTGGCACATAGCTGTAATTCCAGCACTTAGAAGGTAGAGGAATAACAATCATGAGTTCAAGGCCATCCTCCACTACATAGTGAATTTCAGGCCAGGGGCTCAAAAGAAAAAAAATGTAGTGTGACTGCTAAGCAAGCATCTGGCTTCTCAGACTGTTCTGGTGGAGGTCTTGAGCCTTTGTGAGAACACAAAGACCTCTCTTCCACTCTACTTAGCTCTACCTGTACCCCAGGGTCAGCGATGGGCCTAACAAGACAACAGGACACTGACCCATTTCAATATGGAATAGGGAGAAAGGGCTTAAGAGTGTTACAAGACGTGCTTAGAGGGGCTGGAGAGATAGCTCAGCAGTTGGGAGTACTGGCTGCTCTTGCAGAGAGGACCCAGGTTTGATTCCCAACACCCACATGGTGGTTAACAACTTTCCATAACTCCAGTTCCAGGGGAATCCGATGCTTTCTTCTGACCTTTGAAGGCATTTTGGGACACGGGTTCACTTACATGCATGCAGGCAATACACTCATACATGTTAAAAAGAAAAAAAGACATGCTTAGAAAAGCAAATAGCTGAGAAGAGACACAGTAATTTAAAATTACTGTTGAAGGACAGCTGTGAAAAGCTGTCGTTATCCTTAATCTCATGTTGTTCTTTATGGAAGAATGGAAGAGCCAGGCCAATGAACTGAAACAATAGAAAGGCCAATTTTTGCTCCACCTAATAAAGGTTGGGTCATATTATATAATTGTATGTTTACATAATCTCGTGTGTGAATATATACAGAGAGGAAGGGCGAAATGATTAGAAGAATCAATCATTTAACAATGGGGCTGAGGATTTTGCTCAGTGGTAGAACATTTGCCTAGCATGTGCAGGCAAATGAGATCTATCCCTAGCATCATAAGAAAATGGATATCCATGGTAGCTTTCCGATACTACAGCAAAATGTCTGACACAATTAACTCATAAATGAAAAGATTAATTTGGGTTCACAGTTTCAGAGGTCTTAGTCTATGATCTGTTTATTGGCTCTGTTGCTTTGAATCTTTGATGAGGAAGTACATCACAATAGGAGCAAGTGCTGGAGCAAAACCACACACTTTATGGCCAGGATGAGAAAATAAAGTGAGAAGGGGGCTGGGGTCCAACAGTCTTCTTCAAGGGTATGCCCCCAATGACCTAAGAACCTCACCCAAAGGCCCTACCTCTTAAAGACTTCTACCACTTCCCAGTACCTCCACCCCATGGAATAATCCTTTAACCCATGGATCTTTAGGCTCTTAAATATCCAAATTATAGCAATGAGTTATGGGATCACGGGACAAATGTCATTGTTAACTTTATGATACGTTGCTAGAATTTTTATTACTTAAAACAATTTTAATTAATTTTTACTTTATGTATGAGTGTATTGGTTGCATGTATGTAAAGGCACCCCTGTCCTGCAAAACCTGCAGAGGTCAGAAATGGCCTTGGATTTTCTGGAACTAGAATTATAGATGGTTGTTAGCTGCCATGTGGGTGCTGGGAATCAAACCTGGGTCCTCTGCAAGAGCAGTCAGTGCTCTTAACTCCTGAGCTATCTCTCCAGCTCCAAATTGTTATTACTTTAATACATTTCTTTTGTGATAACATTTTCCTTTGAACAAAATGAACTTGTGAAAAATAAAACTATGGGTTCAGTATCTGTGATCCTATGAACTGACTTCATTAAGGTCCCATAGTCTGAGCCTGTGGTAGTCCAAAGGTGCGTCCAATGAGAATGGGACCTGGAAATTTCCAAGAATATGTGGTGACTTTTCAGCTGTTAGACCTCTTTTAATAATGAAACAGTCACCTTAACATAATTCAGCTATAGAAAAATGAAGTCAAAGGGTAGAGCAAACACTTCACTGATGAAAAGGTGCCAAGCAGCTGTGAACCCGGACTCAAAACTAGAGCGACAGAGGTTCTATGTCTGTATATGTTTGTATAATATATATGGAAGACTTGGATGTAGCTCAGTGGTAGAACAGGTAGAGCAACTGCTTAGCATGTGTGAGGTTCTGTCACTGGTTTTGAAAGAGTGTGGTGTTGGGAAGATCAGAGAAGGCAAGAACAGAAAACTAAAAGAGACAGACTATTGAGACTAAATGCCAATAGGTGCTGGGTTTCCCATGGCTTATACATCTGTATGTTGTTATCCTCTTGAATCACATTGTGGAGCTGCAGGCTGCAGGTCATGGACATTGTCATCCGCCATTCATCACTTAGCCTGGTTGAGTCTTCACTGGCAGACAAATAGTGGCTGTGTTGGGGTGGGCACCAAGGCATCTCAAATATGATCTTAGGTGTCCAGAGAAGCGTTGGAGAAACAGCACATTCATGTCACCAGCACTGGGCAGAGGGACCCATATTTACTTTCTTTTGGAACCAATAGTGTTACAAAATCTGAATTTTCATGAGAAAAAACCCACTTTTTCCTGAGTCTCCACTTTATAAGATGGAAACCTAGGTGTGGAGAGAAGTGAGTGAGAAAGATGCCAAAATGGACTCTCAGGGTGGAGAAGCGGACCTTAAAGCCTCTTGCAGGAGCAAACATTGGTCGTGGAGCCATTAGTTGTTTCTCCCAGATAAAGTAAAATTCTTTCTGTAGAATGACAGGGACAGTTATTAGGTGGTAACTGAGTTTAAGCCTTTCTTCTGGTCTGTGAATTCAAGGACCAAAGCTTTGCAGTGTTCTGATTTCATAAACTCAAGACCAAAGATTCTTACAACATTTGTTCAAATTCTGAAAGAAGGATGGTTTCAAACCAAAGATGACTTCTTGCTTTTTGAATCTGACCAACCACTACAGATCATGCAAGTTATGTTAGGAAATAAAACTCTGCAAACCCAACTCTTTAGAAGAGTTAAGCCAAACATTTCCATTTTGTGTTTGTGGGCATTTCTGAAACAGGCAATAGTGGATATTGGAAAGCCACACTCTGCAGGAGGCCAACGGGAAAAAGCACTGGAGACAGCAGGAACAAGGAGCTGGGGGGTAGCTTCCCCCAGCTTTGGCTTACACCTTTGGCTTCCCTTGTGGTGGCTTCCTGCCATGGCACTAAAATGGAGCTCCTGCAGGAGACTGTCTTCTAGAATCAAAGGGCACATCTCATCCATTTGTTGACCTTTCCTCACATTTTTTTTCCCCACACTTCACCATCACTTTCTTATATTTATTGAGTGGGAGTTCTTGTCATTTAGAAAGAATCAACAATATCTGTTGACATGACCTGGCAGAAAGGCCGTGTGCTGAGCATTACATACATGATAAAAATTGAAAATTGGTTATTCCTGGGGTTCCTTGGCAGCAGGAAGACTAAGAACAACATGAAGTGCCATAAGTGCTTGTGATGTCATATGTGTAAAAACAATGGAGGTACGTCATAATGTTGGGCTTACAGTTCATGGAATGCTCATGGTAGCATCAGTACTGGCACCAGACCTCCAGCTCCATGAGAGCAGGCATCAAAGCTGTTTCATTTGCTTTTGTCCCCAGTATGTGGTACAATACCAGAAAACCGGTAGGTTCCCAAAGCCCAGCTTTGAGTAAGTACATGGTCAAGAAGTTCACTGAGGTCAAGAGTTAGAGATGCCTCTTGAAAATCATGTTCGCTGATGTCTTTTGTATCCTACCATGTTGCAGCCCCTGGAGAGAGAAGGGGCACAGAGCAAGCCAGAGATAGTAACAGGGAAGATGAGAGAATTCTTTCTTTGTGTTGCTTGGGTTCACCTCTCTGGCTAAGGGGAAAGGAGAATATGAATTTTATGACTTGAATACAACCTACACAGAGGATTTTCTGCTTGTACAAAGCACTATAGCAAAGTGAAATTTGTGCATATCTATATATGTACACGGGTGTACTTGCATATGTATATGCCTGAGGAGGCCAGAGGTTAACTCTGGGTTCCTCAGATGCTGTCCACCTTTTTTTGTGAGATAGGGTCTCTCACTGTCTGTCCTGGAACTTGACAAGTAGGCTAGGCTGCCTGGCCATTAAGCCCCAGGATACTCTTGTATCTGCTTCTACAGTTCTGGGATTACAAGCACATGCCACCATGCCTGGATCTTTGAAAAAATATTTTATTTATTATTTCTATTGTTTTTGTGTATGTGTGTATGAGTGTATTGCCTGCATGTATGTAAGTGTGCCCATGTCATACAATGCCTGAGGAGGTCAGAGAGCTGTGTTGGATTTCCCTGGAACTGGGGTTTTAGATGGTTCTTAGCCACCATGTGGGTGCTGGGCATTGAACCTGGGTCCTCTGCAGGAGCAGCCAGCGCTCTTAACCACTGAGCCATCTCTCCAGCCCCAGGCCTGGATCTTTCTGCATGGGTTCTGGAGACTTAACTCAGGTCATTATGCTCACATGGCAAGAACTTTACCATTGAAGCTATTGCTCCAGCCCAAAAATCAAATTTGTAAAGTGAAACTACTGTGGAAATCTTTTGAGCCATGTTTGGTCTCAGAGGCAAGACAGTCCAACCCAAGGATTTTCACTGGAGACTGGGCATGGAAGTGTGTTGAGACTTGGGGCCAGCATTGGTACCTATCTAGAAAGTATAGGTTGAGAAGTGGACTTTTCACTGGAGACTGGGCATGGAAGTGTGTTGAGAATAAGTAGCTTTGACTGGGACTTGGGGCCAGCATTGGTACCTATCTAGAAAGTATAGGTTGAGAAGTGGTTGCAAGGACCCTTTTGGGTCCTAATGGGATTATACTGAATAGAAAGCCAGGCGAGAAGCTTTGCATGAAGGGATAGAAGGATATGGCCATTTATAAAAGACAACCTAACACATTTTTATTTGAATGTTTATTTTTTTTCAAAAGAAATCCATGCAGTTAAAGAAAGAAGAGAGAGAGAGAGAGGAACATGATAACCATGTCTAGCAGACAAACATAGGAAAATAATTTGGCACAACTTGAAGGCTTTTTTTTTTGTTTGTTTGTTTTTTTTGTTTTTTGTTTTTTGTTTTTTGGTTTTTTTTGCAAAAAGACAATCTATACTATCACTAAAATTCACCTTCCTCGTAAAGATGCCATTTGATTTTCGAATACGTAACACATGGTTAGTCTTCTACTTAATGGCTGGAGGAGGCAGAGAAAATTTAAAAAATAGAAAAAAAAATAAGAGGGTGGCTCCCTTTATGGAGGAAGGCCACAAGGTGCTGCAGAGCAGCACAGGGTTCAGAGCACTGGCAAGTCAGTGGACCAGAAAGAAAAAGCACGCCACATAGACGGCCATGCTGGTCAGCATCTTCAGGGGGAAAGGCGTGTTCCCCACATTGTGGGAGGCAGTGATCTCATTGTCCTTCGGATTCACATGTTGCTTGCTCCCAGGAGCATCGTCCACATCCAGATCATACGCCAGTTCTGCCAAAAGACAAGAAGGATGATTTGAATTGAGGGATCATGCACCCCATCAGGACCACACTATTCACATTTTCAGCACCTGTCTGGATTGGTGGAAAGCTCCTGCTTTGATTTTTCCCTTGTTTGGGAAGGAAGGATTCCTGGAAATGGGAAGAAGAGCGTGGGGTGATATGTTCTTTGTGAGGGGGTGGGGAGTGGATGGAGATGGCCAAAAGTGTTCTTTTGCAAAGCTCACAGTAATGCAAAGTGAGTCAGTCAGCCCCTCCCTCTCCACTTTGGCTCCACCTACACCTCAGCACTCTTGTTGGCTCTTTGTAACCTCTGCCAGGTAGGTCTCTACCCTTGAATCAAAGGTCATTTTCACCAGAACTCACTGACATCAAAATGTAGTATGTGGGTGAACATATGTGTCCTTGTGTGTTGGGGGGAGGGACAGAAGGGGGAAAGGAGGGAGGAAGGAAGAGCAGTGGGGACTCAGTGTACTTTTCTTGAGCCCCACAGCTCATATTGATTGCCTTATCCTGAGAATTTTACTTGAGTTAGGATTGAAGGACAGGATAGTTTGCTGTTGAAAGTTGTTTTATTTTGAGCAAATAGTTCCTCTCTTATACATATTTTCCTCTGCCTTAAAAAATAATCACTCACACATTAAAAAAAACACACTGGCCTAGCAAGCATATCCAAACTTTTGACATTGTTACATTGTCATCTGCAATGTTCATACTCGAGAACTATGCAATCAAGTTACCAAAAAAATCTTATAATTTTTAATTAAGTTTATGATTTTGTGTTGAGCACAAAATGCAGTACAAATGCAGCTATCTTCAGCTGCATGAGGCCGTGGGCTACAGGGTGGACATGCCTGAAAACACAGCATTTTATTTGATGCCAAGTGAATTAAGACTGAGATGCTAATGGGCAAGTGTCTTTCATTCTTTGATTGCCTGCTATTTATGAGAGATGTACGTGATTCTGAAAAGAAATAGGATGTTTCCCAATGCAAAAGTCACTAGGAAGGCAAGTCTAAACACATAGTGGTTTCTTAGGAAATTCAAGATCCCTGGCCCAGGGGTCAGTTGCTTACAAATTTCTTCTCTAGACTTAGAGACCAAATTTATTCCATTGGCTCTTCTAGACTCTGTTGCTATTTCAATATCTTGTAAATGTGATATGATGTGAGCAACTCACCAGCCAGCCAACTGTCCCAAGGCCAGGGAGCCGGAAAGATCCCTTTGGGGCACGGAGAGGCATAGCAACAGGCCCAGAGGAAATGACTGGGATTCTACAGAGGGAAGGAAGGAAGAGGAAGGAGCTCCTCTTACAGGGCATGAAAATAGTAAGCCACAGGAAGTAAGTTCAAGGACTCAACTGGTCCAGAATGTGTGCACAACAGGCTCTAAGACCAGCGCTGCTCTGAGCCTGGCACGGGTTATTGCAGGAACAAAGTGAAAGTGATGGAAGTCAGGATTTCACAGTCTGTGGTCCCACTTTGCAAAGGGACTGTTGTAATCTACAATGTTACCAGGAATGATGGGAGAACCAATTGTAATGTGTCTCAACTGAAGAAACAAGACATTTTAACTCATATAACATATCTCAAGGTTTTTTAATTTGCATATATTTGATCACTAGTGTAGGTCCAGTTTTTCTATGCTTTAGCTAAAGAATTATGTTTCTCAGTATCCTTTGCCTTTTAATCTGATGGGCACTGATATTTTTCCGACTAATTTGGAAATATATTAAACCATCAGTGTATAATAATCAAAGCAAATGTTTTTCTATTTTTCAATTAATTATAATTCTTTTTCCTTGCTTCAGAAAGAAATGATGACCTAGCTTTTAATATGTATGAAGCAGATTCTGTTTTACTCCTTTAAAATTGAAGCAAGTTTTTCTTCTTTGGGTGCTGATAATAATTCAAATCTTGTTTTCCAGGGAACTCTGCTACTCAGGAAAAAGCAATTTAGCAGGCTGTAATCCAGATCCCCCTCAGTACACACAGGCAAACAAAATAAAGAGAAAAAGAACAAAGAGCAACACTCTACTTGGAAATCAGACCACTTTCTCTGAAAGGTGAACTATGCGGGGCATGCAAGGCGGCCAGGGTCAGCTGTCAGTCGGCTTAGGTCATGATCAGATTTCACCAAAGCGGACAGCACATATGGCTGGATCTGTTGAAAGCCAAGCCTTGAGTCCCATGGCAGGCTTCTCCAGTTAAGTGAAGAGGAGTATTTTTAGGGTTGACCTGAATGAGAGCTCTCACTTTCAGATTCCTTTTCTGGATGCTATACCTCCTGCCCAACATCAAGATGAAACAATATCTATTAATGTTCCCATTCCACTCCTGCTCTATTTATTTTGCTCTTCAAATAATCCCCAAACACTAAATAGTCCTGATGACTATATGAGCCATGGAAAGCATAACAGTTCTATTCAAGCCAAGAGTTTTTAATCTTTTTTTTCAAATTAAAGATTTGATAACTTAAAATTATTTATTGGGGTGTGGGGGGGTATGTGTGTGAATGTGGAGGCACATGAGATTAGAGGACCATTTTCAGGATTTGGTTCTGGGGCTCAAACTCAGGCTTGGCCATCTAGCACACTACCCACTGAGCCATCTAGCCGGCCCCATCTCTTTTTTTCTTGTGAAAGGCCTCTTTTGTTATTTCTTTTCCTTGGATCTTATGAATGAAATGATAGCAATGACCTCTAATTAAATTATTGATTCCTCATTGTATGCCAGGCAATGTGCTATATGATTTAGATATATTATCTCATTTACTTTAACTGTCCCCACTACTTTATGAAGTAGGCACTGGAATTTTCATTGTACTGGTGAGGAAGCTCAAGCTCAGGGTAATGATTTTGGTCTTTATTTCCATATCTGGAAAGTTGTGCTATCTGAATTCAGGTCTGACTGTAAACCTCATATGAAGCCATACTGACCCTCAAAAAATCCTATATACCAAATAGGCTGCAGTGACTAAGCAGTAATAGATTTCAATTTGAGAGAACAAAAATAAAAAATCCCAAGTTAGTGACTTCCAAAAGCATAAGAAAAGTTGGTGTTTCCACATAAAGTTGAATACACACTCAATTAAGGAGCCTTGTTACACTCTGTCTGTAGAATAGAGGAAAGAACTCTGGATTTGGGGATCTCAGATGAGAATTATCATCAGTTCTGTTTCCCAGAAGAAATATGTAATAATAAGTAAGGATGACTACAACCCCAGGCACAAATCTGGGTCCACAAAGGGCTTCCAGGAATATTCAAAATGTTATATCCTTGTGCACCCTAAACTGTGGCTAGAGATTTCCTGAGGCCCACAATTCAGCAGTAGCAAAAGTCTATCACCCAATCCCACAGTCCCACTCCTGCAGTGAATATTGACAGGCAGCCCAGCAAAGTCACACTCTGGGCCAGGGCCATCATCATAAGGATTAGAGATGAAAGGGGATCTTAGAACAACAGGGAAGTATTACAATAGATAGAGAAAATAGGATTTTGGTCAAAGATAAATATGGACATTCCTGGATAGAGAAAATATAATCCAATTTAATTCAACAAACACTGCAAGCCTATGATGCCCCAAGCACTGAACCAGAAGATTGGAGAAAGATTTAGCATCTCCTTCAAGGAATCCCACCCTTGGGTAGGGCACCCAACCAATAGATAAACCACCTAGATATCCAGTACAAAATGGGAAGGCTCAAATAAAGACATAAGCAAATTACCAGAAGAGAAGGAGGGAGAGAGATAAAAATCCCAAATGGAAGTATCTGGGAAGATTTCTTAGACCAATTTGGATATAATCTATATCATGAAGCATGGGGAGGACCGTGGAAAGGCTCACTGAAGCAATTATTCCAGGCACAATCGCCAAGAACTGAGAATGTAAGTGAGTACTCGGTAGATCAAGTGACCTCCATGGTGTGAGGGGCCACAGAGCACACATTGTTTGTGCCTGTGCACTTGTGCATGTGTGATTGGAGGAATGCTAACACTGTTCTGTGATCAATAGGGAGACTGTCGGAAGGTTCTTAAGGTAGGAAACCATACAATCTGATTTTTGTGTTTAGGAAGATAGTTGTTCTCAATGTGAGGCACAGCTCTAAGTAAGAGAGACTTAGGAATCTTGTGAAGAAACAAAAGGCCTGTGGGAACTGAATCTGCGGATCATTCAGTAGCACACATTACCCCCTCCCCAAGCTAATTCTAGACAAAATCAAACAACTTGATTTTGCTACAGACCAGATGTATTATGAGAATCAACACAAACTATTTTATTTGAAATCACTCATATTTTTAAAGTGATTTTCTAGCACATATATTTTGTTGTGTTAGGTATCTATTTTAAAAGACACACAAATTATTTCTATCTTGAAGTTGATCTTCAGTGAGAACCTTTTGGGCCAGCAAGGAGATTTTTTTTCAAGCTACATCTAAAAATCTGTTTCTATTTGTAATCAGTTTAACTATGCCCAGAGGGTAGACCCAATAATCTACACTAATTACACACTCAAGCCCTGACTCTCATTTCGCCTTCATATCTTTTGTGTTGTAGATTAGATGATCCATTTAAAATAACAGCCAGTCATTAGGGACTACCTGTTGTTTGTGTTGGAAAGCTTTTCTGCATTGGGCAAGGTACTGAGAGGAGAGCTCTCCATCCCTGGATATTCACTAAGGAGTCTGTACCATCTTCAGGGGCCTGCAACCCTAGATTCTAGGCCTGGCTTGGCCACTGTCTTCCTACTTCACCTTTGACAAACCACTTTCTTCTTTGGGCTTTAGTTGTCCCATCTGGCAAGCCAGAGCACCGAACTGATGACCCCTACATTTCCTTCCAGTTTTATTTCTCTTTGGTTTTAAGGCTCTTGGGGCCTGGCAAGGGGCACAGTCTGCTGCAGGCTGTGATGATTTCTTTACTCACAACAGCTAATAGTTGGAGGCTGCCCCCTCCCCCCACAGGCTCCCTATGCAAGTAGGATCAATCAGT